AGGCTAACTGATCTGGGCTCACTAACCAAGCTAAACGACCAGGCTAAGTAACCAGGCTGAAGCTGACCCAGCCAATGTAGACCAGGCTAACTAACCAGGCTAAATGATCGGGCTAACTAACCAAGCTAAATGACCAGGCTAAAGCTGACCAGGCTAACCAATCAGGCTAGCTAAGACTAAGTAAACCGAGTGACCAAGCTTAAACTGACCTGATGCTACATACATCCTTCCTCAGATGATGTTACTGTTAAAGAGAAAACAGGAAGCCGGCTTCGAACGCAGTGGTTGAGCAGCGACACAGGCTAACAGTTCAAGGTTCTTTATTGTCATTCATATCACATGTGGTACATGAGGTGGAATGAAAATGTGTACTCAAGGTCCCAGTTACACCCAAAAATAGTAAAAATATAAAGTATAAAAAGAAACAGTATACTAGGATCTAAGGTATACACTAAACAATAATAATGTAAAATAATACGGTGCATTAAACAACAGACTGAACATGAACTATTGCGAGTATTGCACGTAATACATGGCATTTTGCCTCTATAAACACATAGCAATACAAGTATATCAGTGAACCTTTGAACATTATTTAGTGTGTGACTTATTTATTGAAACACAAATCAATAAAAGTGCTTTTATTTATTTTTTTTGAAAAAGGCACAGAATAGCCAAGTTGAATTTCACAGTTGAGACTGATGGCGTTCCTACAACTTTCTACGTTACAAATTCAACTTTGGGAAGTGCTACAATTGAGTTTTTCAGTAGGAAACTTGTAAATGACAACTTCTGTGTTGAGATATGTGATGTGCCAACCTTATATAATTAGTTGTTAAGTGGTCGCGTCACATTGTGACAGCAGAGGTCATTAGTAGTGTTGTGTAAGTAAAATATGTGGTGATGGCCATTTTACCTTTGACCTGCTGAAGTCAGGTATTTCTAAGGCCATGTGGAGAGACAAGCCACCACTGTCAAATCAAATGCCAACATGTTGCCTAATCAAAAATCCCAATCGGAATACGTTTGTAACTTAAACAGCCACACGTAAAAAGTGCTCGCATGTGGGCGAGTGATTCTGAGCACGCTCATAATCTCAAAAATTACCAGAGATCAGAAGAAGCTGCAGTCAAGCCAAGTGTGACGTAAACTGATCAGCTTTTTCATCTTGAAACGAGTTACCTCACCTGTCAGCCAGGAACAACAACTTAGAAACAAACTGCCTGTCATGTAGCTCTGACACTCCCCGGGATACTTCCTTTTCCCCAATTTAGCAAAAATGCAACAATTTTCTTTTGCCTTCAAGCTAAGGAGGCCATCAACCAGTAACTCGCACCAACTTGTCCTCTGCGTTTCTGCTCTCTCTGCTTCTTCCTTTTTCTGTCACAGTTGTCCTTAGGGGGATTGAATGAGGATTTTGGTTTAGTTGGATGTAGGGCTAGTTTTGGGGGGAGGGTTAGGGAACCCTGAATGGCCTTTTGATAAACTGGCCATGGTGGAGGGGTGTGTGTGTGAACAGGCTACAAGTTCTATTCACTCCAAAGCACTTACACACATTTAAACATCTGAGTATTCCTGGTACGAGAATATAAGTCAATCGAATAATAATAATAAAAACATTAGCAGTAAGAGAGGCTGAATATGATGTGGATGGAAAACGAGATGAGATCAGGAGCTGAAGCCATCAGATGAGCACAGATGACACAGAAGAAGAGGCTGATGATGGGAAATGTTTAATGCCTTCTTGCTGGTTAACAACATTAGCTTTTTACTGCCGCAGGGCATGGATGAGTACGTCTGTGGCCTAATAATGTATTTAAAAAAGGCCAATAAACAGCTACTAAAGATGAGTGCTGCATAGCTGTGAGAGCCACTGTTAGATTCATGAAGTTTGATTTTGGAAAACGTTTACTATCGTTCTGGTGCTAGCAGGTTGACTTGGGACGCCACACAGGTTTCTTTCTCTTGTCTCCTCATGAAAAGAGACGCAGTTGTTAGCCATCTGTGACTGGTC